ACCTAGTCAGCAGGAACCAGGAGAAAACGCATTTTTGTCGGGTTTCGTACTACAAAGGTGGGGGAGTACAAAGTGTCATCCATACCACTAAGAACCTACGTTGAGTCGTAAGAAAGAGGAGGTTTGTGACAGATCAACTCAAAATGGTTTTTCAAATAAAAACTCAAAGTAGACTCCCATAGAAAATCTTTGGAGGGAGTTGAAAGTCCTTGTTGCCCAGCGACAGCCCCAAAACATCACTGCTCTAGAGGAGATCTGCATGGAGGAATGGACCAAAATACCAGCAACAGTGTGTGAAAACCTTGTGAAGACTTACAGAAAACGTTTGACCTCTGTCATTGCCAACAAAGGGTATATAACAAAGTATTGACATTAACTTTTGTTATTGACCAAATACTTATTTTCCACCATAATTTGCAAATAAATTCTTTAAAAATCAGACAATGTGATTTTCTGGATTTTAAAAAAAACTTCTATTTTGTCTCTCATAGTTGAGGTATACCTAGGATGAAAATTACAGGCCTCTCATCTTTTTAAGTAGGAGAACTTGCACAATTGGTCGCTGACTAAATACTTTTTTGCCCCACTGTAATTTTTAACCCTATAAGTGGTGTGAAAATAAATGAAATCCATGATGCATGAGAAATTGAGCTTCTACAACTTGACTGGTTAGCATTGTTCATGCTGCTGGTTATGAATTACAGTGTCATGCTATTCTTCACCAGCCCAGTTCTAACATGCATGTTAGATCTTCACGTAGCATACAGTATTTCATGACCTCTGTCAACATGTGGTAAAGGAAGGGATTTTGCATGATCAAGACATTCAACCCTTTAATGGGGAAATTAAGTTTATAATAACATGCAGCCTTTATATTGTACAGTTTACAAAGGTGGCTATTGATCTAACAAAGGCAAAACCATTACTCTTTAAAAACCAGTCCATGTTTACTTTGGGCAGGGCTTTTCAAAATGAGCGACTGTTTGAGTTTGTTATTCTTACCAGTAGTCCATTTAGCCCAAATAGGTGCTTCACACAAAGCAGTCACGCTAGATTTACCACAAGTTATTGTAAAAGTGAATACTTCTGTTTGGTTGTCATGAAACAAACAGCTCTTCAAATAATGGAAGATATGTCTGAAGCATATATTTATACATAATTATATGATGCCAAAGCAGAAGAACACTATAGTTAAATAATACACAATAGGCTAATGATGCATGATTAAGGGCTTCATTTATACGGTTAAAGTCCTTTATTTCAATTTATGCCACACCTGCCTGAAACTATAGCAAGTAACAGCAGGAAACTGCAGTCAGTCATTCAGTTGAAGCCGACATGTTAGGACAGCTTTTTATATGAATCTACACTCACAACACATGGATTTATTACTGCTGATCTCATAAATTAAAAAAAGTAAGTAATAATAGTATTACATTTATCCGACCTTACTAAATCTCTATCTAGTCGACAACAAAATAAAAAAATAAATAAGAAAAATGTAATCAATTTTTTTGTATTATTATTAATAATAACGTGGTGCCACGTGATAGGACAAAATTCACCTCAGGACATTGTGTTGCAACACGGACCCGTTAGAGCGGGCACCGGAAGCTAGGTTCATTCATGCTAGCTTCACATACAGTAACAAGCTAATGTCTTACCTGTCTGAATGTTTCGTGTTAATAAAGTGTGGAGTTCCATACTGAACACACCGCCTCCGACTCCCATTCCTCGGCTCTACAATGGTGACCCTGACGTTTTCGAGAAAGTCTCCGAAGACTCAATGAACATGGCTAATCGCGATGTTTTTGTAAAGCTGCCAGAGTTTTGGGAGCATGCCGCTGCGGCGTGGTTTGCACACGTGGATGCGCACTTCGCCTGCCGACAAGTCCGTGACAGGGATTTGAAATACTACCATGTAGTAGCAGCGCTGGGAAGCTCCACGTCATCCAGGGTGGTGGGATTTATCGCTGACCCCCCACACCATGGCAAATATGAGGCGATTAAGGCCCTTCTCCTTAAGACATTTAGCTTATCTGCTAAGGAGAGCGCCCGCCGGATTCTTGAAATTCGCCCGGCAACCCTTACTGCACTTCTCCTCCAACTCCGGGGTCTCTGACGAAGTCTTGCAGCACCTACTATGGGTCCGCAAGCCGTACCAACTTTTGAGGCGGGAGCGATGACGTTCCGGAATCTTCCCCAAGTTGTCGGCCGGGACGCATCTGATCCGACCCCCGCCCTGGATGCCACCACTGCACCCACGAGGTCGCTACGAACCACCACTCGCGCCTCTTTCACCCGTCGCAGTCGCAGGCGCTTACAGTCGGTTGTCGGGACTCTTTTTACCAGGCGAGGGCTGTCGCTCCGGTGCCGGGCAGCATTCGGGCGGAAAGGTTCGACATGTTTGCCTCACTCCTTTTGCAGTTCGTAGTTGGTTGGCAAATAAAAATTGCGCAGGTGTTCCTCGAGTCACTTCGTGTAATTTTTTAGGTGGGGCTCCTCCCTTTTATTTACGAGACGGCACAGTGTTGTTAGGGGTCAACTTTTGCGAACAGGAGTTTACGTGTTTAGGTGTATCCGGAGTGCGGGCATAAACGCTCAATCCCCGGCGGGTAAATCGGAAGCAGTTGGCGCGCAGGTACAGGGGTGATCGTTGCAGAAGGAGCTTCGTCCTTTGATGTGAGGCAAACTCCGAGGCACGAGTGTGTTTTTGTTCGAAGGACTCTGAGACGAGCGACTGCTTCTCGTCGGAACGAACGCACCGGCGGTTTGCGAGTTTTTCGGTGATGACCTAACGCACGAGGAGGTAAGGCCCTCCAGCAACCATTCGACGTCCCTGCCTAGCATCTTATACCAAAAAGCCCGACGATAGCCTCGGGCTAGCCCTCGCTGTGTGAAGAAACGCAACGACGCAGGGTTTGCGCGCACCATTGTTGTGGAGGACCAGAGGTGGCGGCCGCAACGGACGACAGCACCAGGTCAGAAGGGGTTCGGAATAACATAGCTTAGACAATGTCGCTAATAACAACGAGACGACTCACGTTGTCGAAATGCGCGGAGACGTACCACGACAAAAACAGTTACCCCGAAGACAAATAATGATTCTTTTTTTCCAGGTCGGAAGAGGTCAAGGTCTGACGCGAGCCACCGAGGGACATTCCCATGCGCACAACCGATACCGGCGGCAAGACTGTGAAAGCCTCCGTCACACCGCATCCTTAAGAGGCGTTATTTTGCGCCACCTAGAAGGGGAGGATCGTCTAAATCGTAGAAGAGGTACTTCGACTCTACCGAACGACAGGG